GTAGAGCACTCACCTAGCACATGCAAGGCCCTGGGTTCGAGCCTGAGCACCACATAAAAATAAAATAAAGGTACTGTGTCCACTACAAAAAAATATATTAAGAAGCAGCAGCAGCAGCAGCTCAAACTGCCCACGGCTGCTCGTGGGAATGGCCTGGCAAAGGACATGGTGGATTGAAACTCATATGGGCCCCAAACCCATGGTGCTTCCTCTAGGCTACCCCGATTTCCACTGACTCTGTATAAATGGTCGCTCTGCAGTTACCTATTTTAACAGATCAAACTGTTGAATCAGGACTTGAATTCGCTTCTCTTCATCTATCTCGCCAACAATGGCTTTCTCCAAACCACTGGAGAGACACAGAGAGGGTCACTCAGAAAACAAGGGGGCGGCCCTGCTTCCAGAGAGCTCACTGGGATGGTCTTAAGTCTTTATATACTTGAGACTCTAGGGAAGGATCTGAAAGCATATTTATGATCCTGGGGGAAATGCCCAGTGTCATTAAGACTTAGCATGAGTTAAATAAATAACATTTTCAAAAAAAAACAAAAAACCTTTCAAAATATTTTTGCGACATTGCTCACATGTTTTTTTTCTTCTCTATTATTACATTTGGCCACCTGCAGGATAATCAAGTTGTTCCATGACAATCCTTGATTATTCTGGTTGAGTTTCTGAGGGGAAACAATGTTTTGAGAGTATGCCCTTTGGCTTTCAAGCCCAGTGAGGCGTCTCCAGTTCTCCGCCCGCCCTCTCCAGGGGGACTCTCACACGGCTCCCACCTTCCTTGCCAGAGGCTGTAGGTGAGCACACCAAGACAGGTGGTCTGACGAAGAAGAGACAGAGAGCTTAGGTGTCCCCAGTGTCACATCAGGGACTCTGCTGGGTCATCAGTGTGACCTGTCATCTGGCGCCCACGTCCTAAGCACCTTCTCCGAGCTCTGTGGCACTCGTCAGGGTGTGAGGAGGTCAACGCCAATGACTCCAACCTGCCTCTGCCCTCTGGGAACACAGAGCCTGGAGAGGAGAAAGGACTTCACAGAACAGCAACCACAACTCGGGAAGGGGCTGTGACCCACCAGTGGGCACGTCTGGGGTTCGCCTCGGCACTGCGGCACCAGAGGCCAGCCYGACGCCTGGTACCACGGCTGACCCAACAAATGTCAGGTGAGCGAGGAAAGGCTGTCCAGGTGGGACTCTGGACTGGAGCTAGCAGTAGGTGCCAGGCGGAGCATGGGCCCCATCCTTTTAGTGACAATGACAAGTGGCATTARTAGCAGCAGTGGCTGATCTTGTTGCTGTCAGGAAGAGGCAGGAGGCTGGATGCCAAGGTGGAAACAGGAGGCATCTACATTTAGGAGACAGGAAAAGAATCAGAGAGAACCAGGAAGGTGCTGGCCAGAAGTGGTGGGAGACCCCAGGGTAAAAGGGATGGGAGGCTCAGGACAGGGAGCTCCCCCTTCAACTTGAGCTTGGCTCCTTCACCACATCCTGAGAATCACCCTAAAAATCTGGCTCATCTGACAGCTACCATGGCAGAAAAATCACAGCCCCTTGCCACCGTGTGTGTGTGTGTGTGTGTGTGTGTGTGTGTGTGTGTGTGTAAACAGACTACAAGAATCTAAGACGTAAGAGGTCAACTGGCCCACCTCTCTTACTCCACAGAGGAACAAACAGAGGCTTCACAGGCCAGTGGCTGCCCAGCAGTGCCTGGAGAAGTGGCCTTCAGCAGGGGTGCATGTTTTTTCTGAAAAAGCCCAGGCAGTCAATGTTTGGGGCTTTGTGGGCAGACCATCTGGGTCAGTATTGCTTATCCCCTAGAGCTGTCCGAGAACTGAATTCCAGCTGGGAAGGTTTTCTAAGTGGATAAATCTTGACTGCTTCAAAGGACTTATTACATTTTATWAAAAATTCACTTGTAGCTCACTGGCCACCAAATACTGGTACTCCATGTGTCCCTGAGCATTCTTCAAACACCCCCTTCCAYGGTGACAGTGGCGCTGGGCCCACCCTCTGGAGTCTGTGCAGGGCTCCCAAAGACAGGGCCCTGTAGGGGCCAGACACACACAGCTCAGCACTTGACAGACACGTGGATTTGGGCAAATCATCTGCTCTTTGAGGCTCATTTGTCTCATCTGCAAAATAGGGATGATTATCCTCCCTTTACAGAATGGTTTGAATGAGTCAAAGCCACGGATGGAGCCCAGGGCTGGCACCTAGGGTTTTCACAACATCTGCTGTGCTTAGGCCTAAGATGGTGATGATGCAGCAGTGACAATAATGATGATAAGATGTTCCCTTACTATCAAGGCAGAGATTGCACAAAGCCCACCTCCATGTGCCAGCAGGATGCTCATAGCACCTAGGGGATGAGCAGAGAGAACTAATTCCTAAACCTCAGGGCCAGAAGAGAATGGTCCCCAGGTGTCCAGTGGAACCACAGGGCTGTCTGCATGGCACAAACCCTGGGGAGTGTCTCAGTCCCCCTAATCATGGCAGTCTTCTGGGTGCATGTCCTGGAGACTCATCAAGACACACTTTCTGCCCAGTGCCATGATGATGAGAAATAAAATTGCCCAGCCTGTTGCTAGAATCTCCCAGGTGGTACCTATGAAGCWGCTGAATGCCAGTTACCAGGGCCGAGAAAAGGCCCTGCTCAGGGGATGTTTTCAATCCTTTAGATAAAAAGAATCGGATTCAGTGACTATGAAGTACGAGGATGGCTAATAACCTGTGTCACCACGGGAGGCCGTCAAKGATGCCTTGGACGAAATTCTGGTTTCAGGAAGGAAAATACAAATAGTTCCTCTGAGCTTTAATGAGCTTGGCCAGGGTCCGAAAGCACTTGCATCAAGGCTAAAAAGCGTTAAGACTGAAGGTCAGCACAGTCGCCCTGGAAACACCGTGTAGGTCAGGCCGGGACAGACGGTGGTCTTCAGAGTCACAAGTTGTGCTGGTAACTTTCAAGCAAGAATTCTACAGTGTGGACCAAGTTCTTTTTTTTGTCCTCTGAGAAAATAAGTTTCTGAGTGAGAACATTCTGAAACTCAAGGGTGCCTATGTGGGTGTGTGCACACTTTTGTTAGGTGTTGGGGGCAYGGGTCCCAGTGGTGGGCCCCAAGACTCTGTAGCTTTGGACATGATGAAGGAGGGGCCCGGAGGCACATGGGATCTCTTCCCCTCAGAGTTGCCACCTCCARCAAATAGAGCAGAGATTCTTTAAGCTTGAAGATCTTCAAGAACACACAGCCCACCTCCTGCTCTTGTTACCCAGGGAGTAAGTACTGCTGGTCCAGCCCACTGAGCCAGGAAACGGGAGACTGACAACTCTCAAAGAAGGAACCCACGGCTCCCCTGGCCTCTGTGAATCTTTCCTTACATGGCAGAATGAGGCCACACAATTTAGAGCCGTTCAAGTGCCCCCAGAAGTGAATCTTCAGAATACGMAGTTATTCTGAGAGATGTCGGTCCACGGGAAACAGAGTTAACTCACACGATTTGCTAAGAAAACCTCCCGGAGAAACAACCATTTCACAAAGTCACGATCAAAACCTCTGCACCAAAGCCAGAAATAAGTGGGGGATTGTCTCTGCTCTTGTTCCACTGCCCTGAGATGAATGCTGGAGATCTGGCTCTGGTTATTTTTAAAGATCCTTTGGTGAAAAGTGCTATAAATCTAAATTATTATTTCCCATCATGAGACACACTACCGAGACAAGGATGTGCTTCCACCGGGGCAGCACGTGACGGTGCAGGTTGTCTATTTCTGGAATCTTCATCAATAAGGAAGATGAAGTGCTTAGCACGAGCAATTTCTTTAAATACTAAAGTGGGTTTATCTTTGGAACATGGATGGCAGCATGCGTTCTCCTTCTTGCGGTAAGTCTGTAAGACTCAGAGGCATTTCAACGGTTTAATCGATCTGAAAGCCATGTCAAAATTGCTTTAAAAAAATCTCTGAGCATTCAATATATACACACTTGTTAAAATTAATTACATCATTTAACATTTCTACACACATTATAGTTCTAAATGTTTTACAGTCATTTTTTTATTAATTAATAAAGCTTTAATGGACAGAATTTGCACCATAAAATTATTATGCATATGCTGCGTTTTWAATTTTACTATCTTTAAATAGTTCCCCAAGTGGAAAGTCACTAATTCATAAACCAGTCTCTCTCTCTCAAGAAGTAAAGCTGAAAATCAGAAGTTTGCATACAGAGAGAAAGAAATCTGGCCAATTTCCTTCAAAATAGACTTGCTTCTTCCCTTGATCTCTCAAAGAAAGGGGAAGGGTCTCAGGGAAGTCCGCCTCAAGCATCCTGCCTGGCCTTGGAAACAGCAATGAATCTAGCCAAGTTACCCAGAAGATGCACCTGGGACTGAAATTGCTTTTGCTGCTGTTTGGCAAGGAGATTCTCTGGCTTCCTCATTTAGAAAATGTCCCATAGTTAACACACACACACACACACACACACACACACACACACACTCCATCATGGGGCTTTGTGGTCTGGGTTTTTATGATATTTATGAAGTTAATTCATAAATATCAACTATGTAATGGAACAGTAAAAAGTGCAGAATTCTAGACACTCCCAAATATGCAGGTGTTTAACTCCAGAGAATAAAACATCTGGGCGTGGATGGTATTTTATTCTTTTCTCCTTACTTTGGAAGGTGGAGCAGGCATGGTCTGAATTAGCTTCCTATGGGGGCCGCTCCCTATTCTTTGCATGTATCCTGGCACTATTGTTAGCAACAAGAATTTGAGGAGAGGTGTCTCATATCTACAAAAGTCTCATCTAAAAAAAAAACCCTATCCTCTTAGATGTCAAAGATGAGCTCTTTCAGTTACCACCTTGGTGCAGAGCGGTCAAAGCCAATCCTACTGCAAAACACCTCTGAGACTCAGTGATGTAGAAGCAGCTCACTTAATATCCCCGAGGCAGGGGGTTCATACCCCAGGCTCTCCTGCAGAGGGCAGCACCACTCACCTGCCTTGTAACTCCAGCCAGGAATGTGAATGGCCAGTTGCTCCGYGTGACTGCTGGTGCCAGGCGCCGCGTGGTCCTCTTTCCCTTTTCTCACAGTGTCCAGGTTAGTCCCAACATCTGCAAGTTCTATATTTTCCGAGAGAGGAGAGCTACTCCAAGGACATGCGCCAGTCCCCAGGTGCACCCGCCCCAACGATAGATTTTCCTTGGAGTGACTTTCTTGTAAAGCTGGGCTCCAGTGTGGGCTTTGGAGGTTCGGGTTTCCCTCTGCGAGCTCCTGCCTCAGGCCGCTGCTCATTGGCTCTGCGTTAGCTGGGCCGTCTACTCCATCTGCTGTTAACCCGTGGGAACTACAACTGAGGTTGAGTGACAGGACGGATCTGTGCACTTTGGGGCTTGCAATTTGAGGTTGCCCAACAGGGACAGACAGAGACTTGTCCAGGTAGTAGATGGAATTCTGACACTGCCGAGACATCTGGAGGTGGACACAGGAACTGAATGCCACGGGGGTCTTTCCCGATGGCGGAGGGTCGGCAGAAAACCCGCTCTCTTGGTGGTCTACCTGGGTGACCCAGTACTCRTTTCCCGCACACAGCCCGGCACGGGCCTCGGGAACCTTCAGCCTCATCACCGAGCCGTTTCTGGGGCACTCTGCGCAGTCAAAAGGTCCGTGGTGCTGATGTGGCTGGGCACCGTCAGGCACCGCCGATGGGACCCCGAGCAGAGCATCCTCGGCCCTGCACCTGGGACACGGCGACTCCCCAACAGTGCCCCACACCAGGGCACTGGCTGCGGGGCGAACACGCCGGGCGGTGATGGTGATGGACGCGAACCCCTTGCGGAGGCCTGGGTCGGCAGTGGGCAGCCGTTCAGCTTCCGATCCTCGCTCGTCTGACCGTCTATGGACCCCCAGCTTGCCGGGCAGTAACGCCAAGGCCCTGTGGATGCTGACTCTGCTGCGGTTCGTGGACGCTGGCTTGGTGGGACATGCTCGAGGTTGGGCCATCGCACATGGCAGGGGTAAGGCGGCCCCGGGTTCTCTGGGTTTATTCTCATCAATCAGCTGCGAAATTACTATGGATGAAATCATTCTTGAGTTTTGCGATGTCAGAGCCTCCTGCAAATAGAAAAAGACCCCAATTGTTCAAGTAGTTCATTGTAATTCAGACAGGACTCCCCAGGGCCACGGCTCCGGTTCTCACCCACAGAATCTCACTGCACACTGYGCCCTGTCTGAGCGCTTGGGAGGGTGGGAAACCCAGATCTGTTTACGAAAAAGCTGCATATTCTGCCAACGCTAGCCTGATGTGGCTGGGTTTTCTCAGTGGGGTGTCTAGTCTTAGTTTATTTCAGCGTGAACTCTGTCAGTGGAGATGGTGAGATTTTGAGAGTCAACTCTACCAGACCCAAGAATCTCCAGATCGGAATTAACAGATTCAGTGAGGAGGGAAGACCAAAATCTGGAGTTGGGCTGTGTGGGACTTGGGGTGCAGGTTTTGAGGGTGATGGGTCAGCACTGAGGCATGGAAACTGCAAGAGAGGTTACAGGGAGCTCCTGCCCACCTCCATCTCTCGCACTGTCCTCCACCTTTGCTGGTTGAGACACTAACAGTCTCTCCCTGCTGCCTGGAATCACAGGTGCCTGAATGCAGACAGAAGATGGAAAGCAAATGACCAAGCCCTGACAACTGCCCAGACCAACACAGTGATAATCAGGTGATTTCACTTATCAGATAGAGGAGAGCTACTCCAAGGACATGTGCCAGTCCCCAGGTACACCTGTCCCAATGATGGGTTTTCCTAGGAGTGACTTTCTTGTAAAGATGGGTTCCAGTGTGGGCTTTGGAGGTCCCGGTTTCCCTCTKCGAGCTCCGGCCTCAGACCTCTGCTCATTGGCTCTCTGTTTACTGACGTTTTGCATTTCAACATAAGCATGGGTTTTTGTCCACTGTTTTAAAATGATCACGGCATTTCATGCTTTCTACTCAGCACATTGGAAGTCCTAACAATAAGTCACTGTTGTGTACAAAACTAGGTGCTATGATTTTGTGTGTGTGTGCACGCGTATGCATGCCATGATTTCTTTTAAAGGGAGAGAGAGAGAGAGAGAGAGAGAGAGAGAGAGAGAGAGAGAGAGAAAGAGAGAATTTTTTAATATTTATTTATTTTTTCAGTTTTCAGCAGACACAACATCTCTGTTTGTTTGTGGTGCTGAGGATCGAACCCGGGCCGCACACATGCCAGGCAAGCGCGCTACCGCTTGAGCCACATCCCCAGCCCAACATGCCATGATTTTTAACAAAGCACCTAAGCAGGCTGAGATCAAGAAGAAGCATCTCTTCTGTCCTCATTTGGTTTCTATCATGTTTATTTATAAAGCACTGCAAAAAATGGCATGGCAGTCTGACCATACCCTAGCATTTAGTGAATGCACACAGAGTCCTGAGCAACTTGACATTGTTACATGTGCTTAAAATGAACCCTTGAAAGAAACTGCATGAGGCCAGAACTACTGGTAACTACTAAGTTCCCACTGCTTGTTGAGAATCTTTTTTGCCTTGGAGCCTGAAGGCATAACTGTGATGCTTAGTACATAAAGCAGCAGTTCCCAACATGATTCTAACATGCATGAGAATCACCAGCAGTCTTATTTATAATTGCAGGTTCCCCAGCTCAGAGATTCTGATTTGTGGGTTGTGGGTGGATCCCAGGCATCTTCATTGCCACCCAAGTCTTGAAGATTCTTATATAGAGTAATCTGGGGAGCACAGAGTGAATGGTGAGGCTGCTAATCATGTCAAGAGATCACTTTTGGGAGGGGAAGGACCCRCTTCTGGTGAGAGGAGGGGACCTCTTTGCCCAGGATGTGGTAAGTCATCAGGGTAGCAGTTTTGTTCAGGGCAGGATTAATTTTCTCAAATAATTGACAGTTCTCCTCTAGTTGGACATTGGATCCTGCATGTCCACACATCTACCAGAGGTCCCTCAGGTGTGATCTTGGCAACCCCAGGGGTAAGGGAAGACAGTCATCAGCTTGCTCTTCATGGCGTCTTGACCACCTTATGAACACTTACATTTTTAAAGATGTGTGAGAAGTTGCAAATTCAAAAGACAGGAAATGGGCAAATAAAGAATGGACAGAAAAGTCATTTAGAATCTTCATTATTTAAAAAATATCTCTGGCTCTAAGACAAGAAGGAGGATATCTAACTCTCTCTTTGAGTCTCACTGCTACTCCCTGCTTCAAGGCTGCACCTTGTGGGTTCCTTGAGGGGGTCTCTAAGGCCTGCTCCTGGGAGCCGTTATAGGCAGGGCCTCTCCCCAGCACTTCTGAAACCACATTGCAAGACCCCAATGGCTAGCCTCATCCCCAAGTACAGTAGAGTCCCTGAGAGAGGGGGCTTTAGGAGAAGAGCGAGAATCAGTGTTTCTTTAAGCCCTCAGCATGATTCCAGCTTCTGATTCTGCACTCCCACCCCCTTCTCCAGAGCACCTTTCCTGGGGCCGCGGTTTACATACAGAAAACTGAAATGCACCTGGGCTGACTTGGCAGTACACAGTCCCTCCCATTTTAGTTAAATTTAGCTCTGATAATAATTGTTCCTGTGCACCCCACGAAGTGTATAATCATACCCAGTGGGAACTCCTTTGACACTGGTCTTTAGAGAAAAAGCAAATACTGATCTTAGAAACTGCAGCATTGATCTTAAGTTTCCCAAAGTTTAGACCAGTGATTACCTGCATAATAAAACACCTTGGGAGGGGGCTGCAGATTTGGGGGTGCCAACCTCCCTAGCCTAGGTTGAATCAGGGCCTGTGAGGATAAGGGCCGTCATGTAATGTGTATTCTTATCCGTTCTCAGGTGGTTCTTCCATGTGAATCTGGGGAAAAGAGGCTGAAATTACTGAGGCCACCTGTCACCCAACCAGAGCCAAGGGCCCTCAGACAGACTACCTTGCTTTCCATAGCTCTAGAGTAAGGGGAGGACACTGTGCAACGCCTGTGGACAGAGCCCTCCTTGCACTGCAGTCTCCTCCCATATCAAGGTGTGTCGCTAAGGATGTGCAGATGTCATCTCAGCTTGGAGCCAGGACAGAAAAGACCCTGACTGTTGATGCCAGCCTGTCCCCACTCTTGGGCTGAGTCAGAGAGCTCCCCAGGGGTGCACTGCTGAAGGCTTCCCTGGGGCTGCCTGAAGCTCAGGCCTGAGGGTTACCCTGGAGGACCCGGGAGGACTAAATCAGGAGTGAGGCACATTTCATTCCCTGGGACCTGGCAAATGTGACTGTGATTTTTACTCTATCAAAAGAAAGAGGTGAAAGCCATAATGAACAGTGTGAATTTGAACCAATTTCTGAAGCTCTAAAATCCTTCACTATGTCAGGGTGACACTGATGACAGCCCAATTTCAAAGAAAAAAACAAAACTATTTGCCCTCTCTTCTCACAGGGAAGGTGTGGATAGCAGAAAAGACCCCAGGTAGAAAGGAAGTTCCCCTTATAACCCAGGGAATTTCCTTTCCCATGACTCAGCAGAAGCCAGTGGCTGATCCGCAAACCTAGCRGAGGGAGGTGGCAGCTCCACTAAACTCTGCTGTATCCCAGAGAGGGGCGCGATGGGTACGTTGGGGTTCATCTGAATTGCACAAATGGCACGACTTCAGCACATATCCAATACACGGAAATGTTATTACTGGGAATGTTGAGTTAGYCTGCTTTTAGGTGCCAAATCTGTTATCCATAGCGTATAGTCATGGTTAGACCATTTGTTTAATTACTCCTCTGAAAAATACTTAGAGCACCTACTACACGCCAGGTGCCATGCTGGGCCCTGGGGAGACTCCTGGTCTCATGGAGTTAACAGCCTGGAGGTRACATGGAACAAGAGATCAAATATCAGGGCAGAGTATTTCCAGGATTTTAGACTTCACTTTGTTTGACAAGAGCCCCAGAAAATAAATTGAGAGAAATTAAAAAGGAAACATGGGACTCTTTGCTCTTAAATATATATGCTCCTCTTATAACTCTTAGTCATCACATTCCTATTTTCTTATTGAGATGCATTAAATAATCAAAGATAATATCCAACTGCCTAAAACTTTTATATGTTTGCTAGGGGTGCTATAGCAACACCCCCAGTCTTGTGGTCTAAATGGCAGCAATTTATTGTCTCACAGTCTGGAGACTGGGGTCCAACACCGAGGGGCCTGCAGGGCTCTTCCGAGGCCTGTCTCTTTGGCTTGCCGATGCTGTCCCCTCCCAGTGCCTCATGCCATCTACCCCCTGTACTTGGGTCCCATTCTTCCTCCATCTATCTATCTATCTATCTATCTATCATCTATCTCTCGGCAATACCAAGAATTGAACCCAGGTCCTTGCACAGGTTAGGCAAGTGCTCTACCACTGAGCTATACCCCAACTCTTTTCTTTAAGGACCATCAGTCATATTGGGTTCAGGCCCATCCAAATGGCCTCATTTTAACTTAATTATCCCTTCAAAAACTCCAATCACCAAATACAATCACTTTCTGAGTTGCTGGGGGTAGGACCAGGAGAACTGGGAGGAGGGGTCTGATTCAGCCCATGACAGAATATAACACATCATTTTGAGTCTGGGAAATTAAAGAGACGAGAAAGAGTGGTTGACGTTCCTAAGTCACCTGCTACTTTGAAAACTGGGCAAATTTAAAAAGTAGTCCCATCTTTTATAGCAAGCACCTTCCCAAATCAAGCTATTTCAGGGTGACACTCCATCTGCTTTTTACATTGGGTTAACTAAACGTGGCTTTGTAGAGAGATTTCTTTCATCTAGAATAAAGTTAACTGATGTAAGGTTTGATTTGAAAGGACGAAGAAAATCATCTCATATTTAAAGTAGCACATTCAAGGTTGGAGACAGGTCAGATGAATAGTCGGGTTTAATGTCTTGCTTCCTCAGCAAACCATCCATTGCCTGACCATTACTGACCAACACAGCTCTACATTTTCTTTCTCATAGATGCTGTTTTAAGTATTGATTTTTTTTAATGTCTCAAACATGATTTTGTAGAGCTGGTAACTGCTTTCATAGTTTTATGCTTTTTATTGACCGCTTTTAACTTTATATTTATGCCATAAGGCATATTACTAAGAAGGGCAACATTTCATAAATTGAAATAAGAAAGAGATAAGAGGTGGGTGATCAGAGAAATCAGATCCTGAGGCACTGGAGTGAGGATGCCTCTATTCCTGTAGCAATTTATTTCTCCAAAAGATAAGCATCTAATCCGATCTGTACCTTTGAAATCTGTATTTTTCTCCATGACACAATTCTTTCCTTTTCCACTGATGTTCTGCAACCTACAATGTCTTTCCCATACAGATTCTCTGGATACATCTCCCCACAGGTACTCTACAGCAGTTACCCCCACACCTGCTGCAAACTGGCTCGGCCCTGCGGGGCAGACCTAGAATCAACTAGGTAATTCAGCAACCTAGCAGCATTTCATCCAGAATGTAAGAGCGTTTCAGATGAGTGTGTCCACTCTGGTAAGAAGCAATGGGGAAACACAACTTTGAGATGAATGGAAAAATCCAAGCTCTCCTCACTCCTCACGGTGAACATCGTCTTTCCATGCAGTTACTACAGACTAAAAACTACATGATAGACAGCAATGGAAAGCTGGTGAGAATTCCCCACCCCCCAATATTTTCACTGTGGTACAAACACAATTTACCATCTTAACCATGTTTAAGTGTGCATTTATTTTGGTGGGAGCCATCACTACACTCATGTCCAGAAATCTTTTTATCTTATAAAACTAAAACTTGTATGTGTTAAACAAAAACTCTCCATTCCCTCCACATCACAGGTCCTGGAAAGCATCAAGAATAATGCCTCTTAAAAGGTAAATCCTGGTACACACAACTGCAACTTACAGCTAGCGTCAATTAAAAATAAAAATTATCAATAATTTAAATGCCATGGAAAATTGCTTTGCAATAAAAGACAGCTATGGAAATCGATATATATTATCGTCTCAGACTTTTGTCAAAACAGACATGGGGAAAATAAGGAAATGTCATACACACATATATTTCCTTATTTATGTATGTCTGTATTTTCCTAAGTTTGCAGAGTTGTCATTTTATTACCAGGAAAAGTTAAAAAATTTTTAGAAGAYGACTGGTCTCCATATTTCACTCCTTTTAAATAAGCACTTGGCAGAAGAGGTGCCTTCCTATCATTGCCGTGGCTCCGATGCGTTGTGGAAGGGAAAGCCATCAATCTTGCACAGGCTCTGGAGAGAGGCAGAGATTGATGGCACTTGCCCAGGCAGGGCATCTGCTGGCGTGTTCTATCATCCCACAGCCGCCTTCTGACACGCACAGGCATAAGCTTTAAAGGCTCAAAGTTAGGAGGGAAACTTGAAAGTCACACTACCTATCAAATTAGATGATCCAGGTCATTCCAGGGTAGGCGTTTAGAAGGCATGGTTTCCGGGACCCAGCTGGGTCATGGATGACCCTGTGCTAGTTCAAGTGTGTGCTCCAGGGATCCAGCCCCATGGCTCCAAAGAGCTACATCATCATTAATGACCAGAAGCTGATTCATTTTGACACCAACAAGAAAATACTAAAATCTGCCAGCCCGATGTGAAAGGCAGGTGGGAAAGATGATCAGCTGGCATGTTTCTTTTCATAAAAGAGCCAAGATCCATCTCAGCAGTGCCCCTGCCCACCCTCGATCCCGCCCCTCCCAGCCAGCATCTCTTCTCAGCCTGGCTCTCAAGGATCTGCTGCTCCTCCTCCTCATTTTCCTTCCTCAGTCGGGGATCCTGCTCCTGTTCCCAGGAAAGAAGTCGATGGCAGTGGCACGTTTACATTCTGAGAGGGTGAGCTCAGCAGGAAGACTTTCAAGACTAAATATCAGGACCCAAGTAGCATCCTTTTTCTATATTGTGGATTTGGGGCCCGCGGTCCCTGAGGGACATGTCGAGCTTTATTAAATGCAGAGCTAAATCAAAGTAATATTTGAGCCAAGTATTTTTGGGGAAAAAAAACATTTTAACAAATATGTTTATTAGTTGAATCTGCGATCATAGGATGATTTTATAATTCTTTTTCTCTTAGAATTAACAAAAGTTGGCAACAGAGTACCGATTTGTGACAGACAGCAGATGTCTTGAAAACTGTAACACCTGGGACAGGTCTCTAAGGTGAGACCATGCATACTTTTATGTTCTGTTAACAGGAACAAGCCTTCCTATGTGACAATCCTGCAGAGCAAGTTAAGAACAGAAGCCCGGAGCCAGACAGCTTAGGAGAACAAGATTTGGGACAAGTTAAATGGTGAAGCTTCGTTTTTCTCATCTGCAAAATGGATACAACACTGTCTGCCTCCCAGTGTTGGCAGAGGGATTAAGTGAGTCAGTTGATTAGATGGTGTGGCATGTGATAAGGTGACAATATTAACCACTGTGTGCAGAGCTCTTTGTTCTTTGGAATCTGAAATATTTTGTTGTCTAAATATGACCCCGGATTTTCTTTCCTGCTTCACACCACTGACACGTTCTGTAGTTAAAACAACCTAAACTAGCTTGTTAGATTTCAAAGCATCTCTTCCTGATATCAAAAATAAAAAAGATAGTAGACAGAATAATATCCCAACACACACATACACACTCTCTCTCTTTAAGACACTAATTTTGCTTTAAAATTGAGGTCAATCACCATATTCTTCTATGATACCACCAACTTAAAAGTTCTTGGTGAAGATTATAAAGGATTATTAAATACACAGTGTCCACATTCATGTAGTAATTCTCAGTCTTTGGTGGTTAACTATTGTGCTGCATTAATTCAAGTTTAGATTAAACAAAACTGAAATGCAGACAGGTCTCCAGGAGGCCAGTGATCATGTTGCATGGTCAAGTGTGCTTGGCTGACATCTCCAGTCACCAACGTGTGTTACCTTGGGGAAGTCCGGTTTCCTCTCCAGAACATCTGATTGGAGATTCCGAAGGGCAATTGGATTGTTAGGACTGCAGTGGTTGTCCCTTGGTCCTAGACAAAAGGAGATAATATTGCTACATTTAGCACATGGAAGGATAAAATGGAATATATAACTTTAACTTTACCATAAAATTTRATGTGCCCTACTATTTTATACTAGCCCACAGTGAATCTAATACATTCCAACCCGTGAGGAAGTTTTGTATATTCCCTCATGTMTCCGGCTCCTTTCCATTTACAATCTCAACAGTCTATTATTATTTGGTTTGTTAGGCTGCAAGATTTCTTCCTCACACAGTTGTTTATGTTTCGTAGATTCAATAACAATCAGAATAGCTCTATCACGTCCTCCAGCATCCTGAGTTTATGCCCAGCAGAAGAGAAASATTGCCCAGCACCACTGGAGTTCACAAGGAAGAAAAATCCTGGCGATCCAGGAGGATTATGAGTTCAAAGCCAGCCTCAGCAACTTAGTGAGACCCTAAGCAATCCAGCAAGAGTCTGTCTCCACATAAAACATGTTAAAAAGGAGGTGGGGGTGGGGTGGGAATGTGGCTTACTGGTTAAATGCCCCTAGGTTCAATCCTTGGTACTAAAAAAGAAAAAAAAAAAAAAGAAGGTAGAAATACAAGACCAACCTCCATCCAATCTCTTAATGCCGCCATAATTGCAGCGGCCATGTGACTCACACACTGCTATTAAAACCCTTCTAGGGCATCTGCAGATGACTTTGGAAACTGCCATGAGACGTACGTGTGTGTGCACCCCCACAGGYATTTCTGCCAGGACAGCTCAACATGGATGCAACTCCAAAGCTTCTCAGCCTAAGCTTCCTTTCCCATAAATCTGCACTCCTGACTCACGCAGCCCTGAGTAGACATGGGGTGGGGGGAAGCACTCTGCAACAGAAGTCATATTTCCAACTCTGCTGGGACCTCAGGCAAGACAGAGCCAACCTTAGCTGCCCGCCCTGAGCAACAACAACCCGTAAGATGTCACKCGATGTTGGCCAGACTGCTCCCGTGGGAGTGTGAGCCAAACAGGAAGCCCCATGCAGGGAGGAGTCTGGGCAGGGCCCTGGAGGYCCAGTCCCCACACCCCATGGTCATCTTTCGCCTCCACAAGGAGAAAGTGGTTGTTCCGAAGGCTACAAGGATGGCCTGCAACTGCTGTGCCGGCATGAGGAAGAGGAGGTTCAGGGAGTGGCCTCCACACTGGAGCCCTACATCAGGAGCTGGGGTGGTCGCATGCGCCTGTGAACACAGCTCCTGGGAGGCTGAGACAGAGGAATGCAAAATGGAGGTCAGCCTGGACACCAAGGCGAGACCCCATGACCAAAAAAGAGAAGGTTTTAGACAGAATTTAAAGCATTTTATGGAAAAAATGATATGCAATAGCATTTTCAAGTTGGTAGGTTTGCTAAGGGGTCAGGTCGTGGATGGAGAGAATTTAAATGGTCACCRTTGTTCCATTCAAAGCCTGGCTGACTCACTTTGTCCTTGGGTCTAGCCTAGATGTGTGGTCACTGTTCCATCTGTGGCTGTCAGGGAGGGAGGAGACGGTCATGCAGGAGGATGTGTCCAGATGGCTTTCGTGAAAAGCACACGTCRGAGACCTTACAGGTCTCGGGGATTCCTGTGCACAGTCCCTGTGTCTTGAACTGGCAGTAAAGCTGAAGGAGTCAGAAACCATCTGGCTCTGGTTTTGTGCCATTGTGCATGGGTAAGGACTTCAGAGTCTGCACAGCCTTTGGGACCAGACAGGTCTGGGTCTGATCCAGCTCAGACCTGAGCTGACCTTCAGTAAATGAGCTATGTGCCCTCCCTGAGCCTCTTCATCCATAAAATGCAAATAATAACACTGCCTGCAAAAGTGCAGCCTGACCCTCAGTGTGCTGAGGAACCATTTGAAAGCTCTGGGCAGAGATGGGGCACGAGGCCAACGTTCCATGAAGGGCACCAGTTGCAGGTGTTAATGTTCACGGTCAGGGCAGCCCTCCCAGGGCACAAGTAGTCACGTGTGTGGCTTTGGGCAAGTTGCAATCAAGCCTAGTTTCTCGCACTGAAGTGTAGATAGTGACAGTGTCTCCAACATAGGTTACTGAGAATGATTAAGTGAAGCCACCGACCAGCCCTGGGTGCCATGTACAGAACCTAACACTGTGCAGTGAGCACTCGCTGCTGGGATGCAATTCATCAGGAGCAGAGAGGAAGGAAACAGCCACACTCAGTTCATCAGGAGCCATGTGTGTTTCCTGTGGCTGCAAGAACCAGCGATCACAGCACACGGCATGGTCCTACAGTGCTGCAGATCGGAAGCCTAACGGAGGTCCCACCGGCTAATATCAAGGYGTCAACAGGGCCGCGCTCCTTTCTGAAGGCTCCAGGGGGATCCTCTTCCCTACCATCAGCTGCCATGTCCTCCGGTCTCTGTTTCCACTGTAGCAATTCCTTCTCTGCCTCRGCTCTCCTGCCTCCCGCTAACGAGGACTGTGGATCTGATCGAGCCCACCTGATAATCCAGGCACCCTCTCCACCTCAAGATTGCTGATCCCATCACATCTGCCCTTTTGTCACAGAAGGTCATGTATTCACAGTTCCCAGGACTAGGACACACGATATCTTTGGGGATTTTTCTCGCCCACCACAGTCTGATTGGGGAGATTCAGGTAGATGCATTGGTTGGAATRTGGGGTCTTTAAAACTTTATTTTAAAGTTCCTATAGCAATATGAAGAAGCACTTAGAATGTAAAGTTTATGGAAAGGAATCAAAAGCCTATGAACCACATGATGTCAACATTAAAAAAAAAAAAAAGTGKGGRGGAACCCACAAAAACAGTAAAATGGTCACTGCAAGAAATCACCCTGGTTAAAACGAACTGGCAGCGGGTGCAGACCCTGAGCAGTGCAGGATAAATACCAGTAATAATAATACTGTAACCCAAGTTCAAATGCGAGCTGTGTGATTTGTATAATTCACTTAACCCCACTGATATGGTTTCCCACCTATGAAACGGAGATAGGGAGCTGGCGCTGTTGTGCCCGGCTCAGTTCCCCTGTGCTGGGGCCGCTGCTCTTAGGAGGTCACTATCAGTATCTCCTGGCTCCCCCTCCTCTGAGAGTGATGCTGAACGTGGACAAAAAGCCCTAACAGGATCTGCTCTGGAGCGTACACCAAAGGCCAGAGGCTGGGCCCCTTCCTCCCTGTGAGGCCTCCCTCACCTGCCCGTGGGCTGTTCCTGAAGGGGCGCCCCCACACCCACATGCCCTCAGTCTCTGCCACAGGCCCTGCTCTCTGGAAACCAACCCGAGGACATCAACAAAGCCGGCTGGGAGGAAGTGAGGCAGCATGGGCGGCCAGGCCCCAGGCTGAGAGCAAAGGTGGCAGACGCTCTTTCCTCCCTGGGACTGKAACAGGAAGTCACAGCTTTGCTGCTCAAGGCCTCAAAGCACCTCCCAGGGATCTTCCAGCCAAGCAACTGGGAGTGGGGGGGAGGGGGGGGGAGAAGTCACTTAAATGGCCTTGTCCCTGTGTGAATTTAGACAAAAGTAGAAGGGGGCAGGAGGAGGGGACAGAGCCCCAGCAGAGGTCCAAGGGAAACATGGCAATGTCTCAAGGTCAAGATTCCCACAAACATCCAGGAAAACCCAGCCTATGTGGAGATGAGCCAGCCGCGCACAGATGAAGCCCAGCCTGTCTCCACAGAGCCAGCAGACCAGCACCACCGGGTACTGCCTAATGACCAATCCATCAAGGAYGTGCGGATGCCGAGCTCAGAGCCCACTTCCCTCCAAGCTGGGCCACTGGTGTCAGAAGCCTGGAGGGCACCCGACAACCGCCTGAGGGACCTGCATCGCCTTCTAGTCTTACAGCAACCAAMGATCACTCTGAAATTTTCACTCTACCTTTAATAACATCCCTTTTTTTCTTTTGTAAAACAGAATGACTTTTCAAATTTAAATTCAATCAGTCATCTCTGTGAGGTGTGATGCTGTTGACTCCCCCAAGCCTCTGGAGATTCTTTTAGCTCTGACTTAGAGAACATGGTGGATTCCTGTCTGTCTGCCTCGGGGCTGCTAAGTCCTGCCTGCTTTGGTGGCGTCTCCCYGATAGCTGCCCGTCTGGGCAGACCAACTGTGCGCACAGCCCTCGGACTGGTGCCTCCCAGTCACCTCCAACTCAGCTCTTCAAGGGGGAACAAAGCCCCCTGTCTTCTTCCTCCTCCTGGGTCCATCACCTTGGGGAGCCACCACCACCTGTCCACCACTCACAAGGCCAACAGAGTCCCCTCTGCACCCCTCCCTGTCCTCCCTGCAGTGCCCACCTGAAGCTGAGGCTGGTTTTGTGTTGAGGAGAAGGTCTGCTCATGGTATCAGCGACCTCCCCATGCTGCCTGGTCTTAGCAAGGTCACAATCAGTCTGGTGACCCCAGCAGCTGCATCTCCTGGCAGGTTTGTCAAACCCCTTGACATGGCCAGTTTGTGACCTTGTGGGGGTCACCTGCTCCCTCAAAAACTCTTACRCAAGAAAACATTTTTGCCCCCAGGACAGGGCCCATGAAACACACAAAACCCAGGAACACGTGTTCCCAGGATGGGAACCTTTAACAAGCTACCTCCCCTGGCCACACTCCTCACTCCCCACGCACACACACACAGTGTGAAGTTTCCTCCTCTGGCAAGGACTTCCTGATACACCCCCACCTGCAGCCCCCAAGCTGTGCTGGGGCCTGTACTGTCTCCTGGGGCTGCCACAAGTAATTACCTCAAGCCAGTGGCTTACAGCCCCAGGGATTTATTCTCTCAGTTCTGGGCTGGATGTAAAGTCAAGGTGTCCACAGGCTCAAACTCCCTCTGGGGGCTCTAGGGGAGGGGTCTTACTTGCCTCCCAGCTGCTGGTGGTTGCCGACATGAGTGCTCCTCGGCTGGTGGAAGCTCACTTGGGTCCCATGGGTGCACTTGCCTGGAAACCTCTCTCCTGGACACTGGTTGTGAGCTTTAATAAGGCCTGGTCGCATCCTAACTTGATAACATCTGCAAAGACTCTTCCT